TCACCTGGGATACATACTTCTTTACATTCCATAGCTGCTCTTGTTCATATGGGCATATAAAGAAGTATGTCTACCAAGCAGGATATGTGGGCACATGGAAGAATGGACATCTTTCAGCCCTAATATTCCACAAATATTAAGGGCCAAACCACAGAGGTAATGAACATTAATTACTCTTTTACTAAATAAACGCAGTCCTACAGCACACATATACACACACGCCAATGTCCTTTGTACTTTTAAAACTTTACGTCCAATTTGCGCACAAAATGTCACAGGACGGCACAGTTCATTTTGTGCCACACCAGCGGTCTTTTTTCGTTTGTCTTTTTTTGCCAATTATATCCCGGAAATTGCATGGTCCTGTGACTTTACAGGTCAGGTCACTAACGTTGAGGGCTTTTACACATCATTTCACTTCATTAAGCCAGCTGAAGTCCATAAAAATAACATCAGGAGGAGCTCTCTCCGTTTTGACACTCCAGAAAATGCGTTTACACTTCCTTTTAATAGATTCAGACAATTTTTCTTCTGTCCTCTTCATCCTGCAAAAACTGCATTGCTGTACACACACCCACACCAGGCAGCATGTGCTAGTTTTACTGGAAGAGCAGTTTTTCACTTAGTCTACGCAGAGCGCAGCCAAACACGATTCACCTTGACTGTCAGCCTGAGAGGTACAGCTGCAGCGATAGGAGAGAAAGAGAGAGAGAAGGATAGAGAGAGATTTGGTTCTTACCTAGTGGGTAGCTGTCAGGTAGATTCCCCCAGCTTCAGATGGGCCAATGCACCACAAGGAGGAATAAAACAATAAAGGGCAAACAGGAAGAAGTGCTCTAGCTTTTCCTCTCTCAGTGTCCCAGGTGCTGCCTCTGCAGTCTCTCTCTCTCTGTTCTGCTATCTGAGTCTATTTCTCTCTACCTCACATTCACTCATTCTATCTCACACTCTTTCTGCCCCCCCACCCCCCCCCTCTCTGCCCCCCCTCTCTCTCTCTCTCTCTCTCTCTCTCTCTCTCACTCACACACACAGATGCGTGTAGTGAGAAAGTTTGTCTTGCGGAGGACTGCTGTGTACCCTGATCTTCTGATGTCTGCAAATGAATGGGGAATAAATGTGCCTGACCTGCCCTCTCTACATTTCTCCTGTCCTGCTCTTTCTCTCATCATCCATAATGCACAGCTTATAGAGCCAGTACACTCCTCCTCCTCCTAATTCACTCTACCTTTACCCATCCCCTCTCTCTCTCTTCCTGACCCCTGACACATGCAAGCATTCACCATGTCTCTTACTCTTACACTGTCTCTCTCCATTCACTTTTAGTTTAAAGTGCTTTATTGGCATGGCAAATTTATATACCATTGTATTGCTTAAGTAATTTCAATTTAGATTGGTGTGTTGTAAAAAATGTGCGGAACAATGTACACTAAAATAAATGTGCAAAAATCGTCAACACCTGGTGTAGCCTTTTGACGGAAAAAATGTTTGCGCTATATCTACTCCTAAAGGATATGTATTACACCTTAAGGTAATTGCAAATTCAAGAACATTTTTAGGGATATGGTTATGGGTGGTTATTATCATAATTAGTTTTATGAATTTACTTTATGAATTAAACAGTAGATGTATCCTCATTCATGTAGCTAGGAACACAATTGTCTCCAGAAGTGAACTAAGCTTTATGCACAAACAGAAGAACTCTAGAAAAAGACTCAATTTTAAAGAACCCTTTGTGCCAAAAAGGTTCTATATAAATAGAAATGTCTTAACCCGCTGGTTCTGTTCGGTCATTTTTTTTTACCTTAAAATTTTGTTTAGATTTTTTAAGTAATTTTTACTGCATCGGAAGGGTTCAAAACTTGGTAAAATTTTGGCACTTGCTATGTAAACATTAAAAAAAAAAATGGTAAGCAAATTTCATCTAGTGGAAATGTTAGGTACTGCGCCCAAACCAAATCTTGCTGAAAGCTTATTTTTTTTGAGATGTCAACCTTTAAATTTGGAACACAACTTGTTTAGAATTATGGCTTTGTTTTTCTCACAATTTTAGAGTAGAACGTGTTTTGGAAAATATATATTTCATATAAAATTTATTGTAATGTATCTTTCACCTTTTTAAACATTTTCACTTCAGCAATAATCTGCCAAGTGTCTTCTTTAAAAAGAGACCAAACTTTAGTCTGTGAAAGCATTGAAGATTTACGACAGTTTAAGTTGAACATTTCATTTTCAGGGGTTATACTCAAAAGGTGATTAACAGGTAATAAATGGATCAAAACTATTCTATATTCTATAAAGACTGTGTATATGGTTTTACACAGTTTAGGGAGAAATTTGTCCCTAGAAGTAAACTAAATCTGGGGATATTTCATATAAAAATGATTCACATATGACTTTTTTTAATTTCAGAACTTCACTACTTAATACATTCACAAGTGTAGTTTTAATTTTTTTTAAGGTTAGTTTGTAGCAATTGTCTTTTAGTTTTATATAAAACAATAGAAGTCTATGGCATGTCCAGGGAAATATGTATGTGTGTGTGTGTGTGTTGGGCAAGCATCTTTCACCTGAAAACCCCCTTTGCTCTCCATCCTACTCTGATCAATACCAATTTATACGCAAATGCGGCTCAGCTGACTCTCCCGTTTAATGAATTAGACCGTCGCTGATGTCACTCCACTAATGAAGCCCTTCTCAGGAGTGTTAAGCAAATCTGCAGAGGGTTAGTTTGCATATGCCTGTGTGTGATAGAGTATTTAAGAGGAAAAGGGTTTTACCAGTCCATCCTGTGTATAAAAAAAAGATAACTATGAGGAAAAGAGTGAGACTCTAAGAATATATGATGGCCGCAGTTGTACTCAGTGAGCGTGCGTGTGTGTGAGAGCAAGAGAGAGAGATGGTGTGAATGATATGTGATTGATAATTACAGCAGAGGGCAGTCAGAGGAGGAACAGACAATGTCTGTGATCCAATGCCACCCTATGGTTTTTAACACCATGCGGCTGAATGTTTTCTGAAACAAGCGTTAATTACTTTTGATCATTGATGAGCAAAAGTGAATAAATATGAATAGTTACAATAAAAAAGCAAGAAAGATTGTGGGTGAGTGATCTGATGCTATCTTAAACACACTAGCCTACATGCTGCGTGCGCTGTAGATGAGAATTCAAAGACGCACTGCGAGTCATAGCGCGCATACAGAGCAGGACATATTTATGCATGTGATCAGAGAAGCCTCTCCCATCACACTCCACATGTCCCACAATCCAACACTGTCTGTTATGCGCCTCAATGTGAACACTATATGCTGCTTGAGCACTGACAGTACATTTGTTTAGTCATTGGACTGAGAGCCTTTTCGAACTAAAATGTTTAGTCCAGTTTAGAGTGTTGACAATACCCTTATTTTAATAGGAGCAACTAAACAAATCATCATCAAGATGATTTAGAGCATTTGTTCTTATCCATTACGTATAATTCAGTTCAGTGCGGTTTATTTTGATTCAATTTACACTGTTAAAAGCATCAATCATTCTAATGCACTTTGACTATTATAATTTAGTGAAGAGAACTCAATTTTATTTCATTTAAGAGCATACATATAATTCAGTTCAGTTTGTACTGAGGTAGTTCATTTTTATTTCAGTTTGGTTTAAACTAGGCTACTAAAAAGACTTTGACTTTAATAGGATGAAGCTTTTGTTTTTGTTTCATTTAAGTTAAAATCAGTTCATTTAATTTACACCAAATTTGAATTAATTAGAGCATTTGCTCTTATATTTTAGGCACAATCCAAATAACATTCCATTGAGTTTCATTTTAGACTGTTAATCAGTTGTGAAAAAATTGATTAATAGAAGAGAATAAACCATTTTTAATGCAATTAAAATGTAGCAATTTATTTTGTTTTACAATTCATTAATTCAATTCTATTTAGACTTAGAAAGAGTGTGACTTCAAAATTGGACAACATAATAAGTAACAAAGTCTCGGTAATGCACTTAGACAATTACAGTTGAGTAAACAGTTTGTTTAGAAATTCATTTTCTCTCTGGGTGCATTAACAGCTCTTTGCCAGAGGCAGCCATCGGTTGCTAACGGCTAATAGCTAAGTAAATCGTGGCGGCTCTTCTTTCTGCATCAGCACTACCCTCTGAGTAATTAAACTAAAAGTACTCGTCATAAATCAAACCCACTCCTGTTTTCAACCACCTCTGTCATTGTCCCTTCCTTATAGGACAGACTGTGGTTTTTGTAAATGGACCCCTGTGACCCCACACCAACACACAGAGTCATGACCTGCTCCTCATACAAGTCGCTGCCCCGGCAGCTCAACGCCATAGATAGCAGCATTACCAGGAAATAGGCTCGCATCAACACACATACACAGAAGCAGGTGTACCATTCCTGAGTCTAACTGAACATCCAGAGCTTCACAAGCAACAGCTGCTGCCATCCTGATGTCACCTGATCCATCCCAGCTCCTGTCCGCTCCACATTTAAACATGACTGACAGCCCAGGGGCTAATGCCTGTCCTCGAGCCATCAAAGTAAAATTAGAAAAAGAAAAGTAAGCATCTCCCTGGACCACCACACGGCTAAATATCAATGTCAGGGGCCAACAGTGGTGGATGCGCTACGGTGTACTTTTAAAAGTCTTTTCAAGAAAGAAATGAACAAAAAAAAGATTTCAGATTTTTCAGATTTCAGTTTAAGTCATTAAATGAAGAACAAATCTGCTAAGGTCGCAGCTCTCTGCGTGATGCAGTAAGGAGTTGCTAGCTTTGCATGCTAACACTACTGCTGAAACTACTTTGACAGGAGCCGGATGGCTGCACATGCCGCCTATGATTGTTCCCCTTTCATCCTCATGCACGCGCCGATACATCAACAGAAATGCAGAGACGCAGACAGGCTGAAACGTGGTGAAACACACTTACAGTACGTGCGTGCGTGTGTACACGCATCATATTTACTCACAAACACACACACATACTCACCAGGGAGAGGCAGCTTGTGTGTGGAGCCAAGAGGCAGGGAGAGCGTCCATTCCCAAGCAGCTGATTCAGCGTTTGAGAATTTGAGGATGAGAGGAAAGAGAGAGAGAGAGAGAGAGAGAGAGAGAGAGGGGGTGGAGGGGTGGACAGATGAGAAAGAGATGAGGATGAAAAGAAATGCAGAGGGTTGCCATCAATACTGGAGTGTTCTTGGCTCTTCACGGCACAAAAAAAGGAGTGAATTACCAAAATATCGGACAAAAGTGACCGAGTCGGATAAAATGGCCCAAAAGACCTACGTTTATCTCAGTAACACCTCCCCACCTGTCCTGAGAGAGAAAGAGAGCTACGTATAGAACTACGCCCCAATACCGGCTGAAACAGGAGTAGGAGAATGTATGGACAGTATGCTGACAGTTTTAAATGAGAGACAGGCGGCCAGAGAGAGAGAGAGAGAGAGAGACAGAAAAGGGAGGAAGTCAATGTGAAGTAAAGAGCGAAAGATCAGAGTGTTTGTTAAACAGAAGTAAAAAAAAAAAAATATGAGCCACCCGTGACCACCATCTCATTTTCTTGTTTGCCCTTACTGTATATTCCATCCTGCCAGACAATTCTGTCCATACTTTGTCCAATAAACGTCCTTGTCCTTTCACATGAGAGAAAGCAGCCATTAAGGGCAAAAATTACGTCACCGATACACGTCCACATCACCGAAAACGACAAATGTTAGCTTAAAGAAATTGTTAAACGTCATAAAGTTGACTTCGAACATATTTTATGCCGAACATGCGAACGGGACAGACGGGAAGTGTGCTGAGGGGCTGTCGGAAGAGCCTCCCACTGCTCCAAAGCTTTTATACCCCAAGGGTCAAGGCAAAGAGGAGCCCCCCTGGCCCTGCACCCACTCCCCTACTCTGCCTGGCCTTATTTAGTGAAGCAGGGTAAAAAATAGCCCCTCAAGTGCTGCTGGCTTGCTCTGATCTGGAGGGGGCGGGGCCTGTACTTGGGTTAATTTTCACATGAGAATTGCGTATCTTCTTCTGTCACTCGGACACCTTCTTACCTTGTATTCTTTTCTCCCTGTCCTCAAAAAAAAAAACATCTGCTAATATAATTCATTCCCCACCCTGTCCTTCCGTCAGCACACCCTAAATCCCTCATGCCATCTGCCCTCACCTCCAGGCTTTCAGCTCAGCCTCTGGAGGTATTTTTAGGCAGGCCAAATAAAGAGGTACGTTCAGTTCCTGCCTTGCCCTACCCTGCACCACCCAGTAGTTCGGCAACTCTGTGCACTCTGCTATCTATGGTCAGAGCCACTGAGATTGAACACAGAGCCGCAGACGTAAAGAGTGACTGCATTGCTTTTGTGCATCGGATTGATGGAATGGAATTGAATTTTTGTTATCTTAGTTTGATGGGTTACAGAAAGTGAGTCAAATTGAGTCGCATAATAAAGCAAGTCGTTTCCCCCACTGAATCTTGTTTGTTTGTTTATTAATTTAGTCATTGAATAATTGATTGGTGCAGTGTTTAATTGTTTGCACAGTGATGTTTGTAGTCTGTACTAGTGTGTCATTTGCTGTAACAGAGAAGTGTAGATGTGCATGTATGTTTGTAGAGATTTGGTTCCTTCCAGGGGTTTTTTCCCCTCAACTTTTCCTTATCGTCTTAAACTCAGTTCTCACTGTGTGATATTTCTGTCCCTATGAAACCTTGTTGCTTGTCAGATTGTACAACATGACCCCAGAGACACCCTGCACGACATAAACTGTCTTTTATATAAGTCTGAAGACACACTTGAACTAGCTCATCAAGGTCATCAGGATAGCAAGCTGCATCTGAAATCGCATACATAGTGGCTACTACATTTGATGATGAACAAACTTCTCGACTGTGAAAAAGTATGCTCTGTGTAGAATGAATGTGTGTAGTATGAATGAAATCCAGATGCACTGCATCCGCCATGTTGGCATTGTCATCTGACCTACCAGCATCGGTTACTTCAATTCACTGTCATTCACAAATCCTCTCCACTGGCCACATGGGATAGTAAAACATCAGATGCGCTTTTCGGAATCTCTGCGGAAGTAGTAAGTCATCTGGGTACTTTTCACCTCCTGTACTATAGGGAAGTAGGCATGTGTATTGTCTTAGAACTGTACATTTCTGACATATGGACATTATTTTGACAGTCACCTCTGATAACAGATTACTCTAAATGGAAATGTAGAAACATGCATTTTCTGTAAAGCTGCTTTGAAACAGTGTGAAAGGCATTTGTATTGAAAGGCACTATACAAATACATGTGAATTGAATGTGAAGTGAATATCTAATTATAAGAAATGAATTAATACTAAAAAAATATCTGAAATCTTTTGTGGCAGGACCAATGTGGGAATTTGTGAGCTGCTCATTTTCAACAGCAAACTTGTGGTAAATTCAGTAGTACGATTACAACATGAAGAACATGCTGAATAATAACAAGATGTTTGTTGCGTATCATATTGACAAGCTAGTATCGACATTCTGGTCCCTTTTTCTCTTTTACATGTCATTATGCTGGCATATATAGGAGCAGTTACACTGCAGGACAGCAATATTTCTGACACTTGCTAAGCATGTCACTCTAAAGGCTTTGACACACCAAGCCGATAGTCGGCCATTGACCATTGACGGTCTATTGTTGGGCGTCTGTCGGCCTAGTATTTTTGTGGTGTGTTGGCACTGGTCGGACCCTCTGTCAATTGCTTTTTGGCCGGATTGAACATATTGAATTGGTGGTGGAGCCATCTTTGACGACTTTTCGTCACTGTTATTTTTTTTATCTCGGTTTGGTGTGCACAAACTACAATTCCTGAAAGCTGTCTAAGCCCAGGTTCACGCTTTCAGTTTTTGGGATTGACAAATATATTTACTTACAGGTGTGAGTCTCTCTCTTATCCAGGTGGAGAGCGGAGCATTTGAGCTGGACATAGAACACAAAACTGTTGGACAAAAGTGACTGGATCTATAACGTTGAGATGTTCATTTCACACATGAAAACCCTCAACACACAGTAGACCCACTTTTGTGCAGTACAGAGCGGCTCTCTCGCACTGTATGATGTGACGGACAACTAGTTGTCCAGTCCAGTTCTGTTCACACTGTGCAGGATTTTCCAAGAATGTGGTTGTGAGTCCTGAAAATGTACGTGTGTGAGTTTGGTTATATGTGGTTGTCACTCCCGTAAATAACTGAATTGTGTGTTAATGTAACTGTATCAAGGACTGACAACTGTATTCTGCTGCTGAGTGAATGAATGTGTGAAATCATACAGTGTGCACTGGGCTTTTAGGGAGTTAACCATTGTAAGGCACTATACTTTGGAACAATTTGTACTGTAAAAAAAAAAACATACATCATTTAAACTTGAATTTAATTGTTTCTACAGTGTTATGAGAAGAGATGACTGACAACTAAGAGAGAAATGGTGAAAGAGAATGGGAAAGATGAAAGGAGAACGGATTCTCTTACAACTGAGGGGGCAGCAGGAGCAGGTAAAGAAAAGAAAATTATTGATTTCCACCTTAAAAAGGCAATCTCCACACACAAGTGCTCTGGGGGAAACAGACAGTGTGTGAGCTACTATCTGCATGTCTTAGTGTGTGTGAAGATATTTGAGTGTGTTATGAAAGAGTTAGTGAAAACCTGCTGCCTTAGTGTTCCCAAGGACAATGTTCTATTGGTCGTTCTGTCATTCTATTTATTGTTCGTTCTTTCTTTTGTTCGTTCGTTCTTTCTTTCTTTTTTCTCTCTTTCTTTCTGTCTTTTTCTTTCTTTCTTTCAATTGTTCTAAGTATATCTCTCTGTCTGCCGTCTGTTGCTCTAATGCTTTATCTATCACTGTCATTTTATCTATCGTTTATCAACCTGACTCTATCTGTTGATTGTTTGATTGTACATTTCATTCGTATCTTCATTTGCTCGTCCGTTCTTTCTATCTTACGTTCAATCGTTTTTTTGTCTTTCTGTCTAATAAGAGAAGGCAGCTGATTTTCTATCTTTTATCAGCTAGCTTTTTCTGTTTTCATTCTACAATTTATTAGAATGTTTTTTTTATATATATATATCTTTATCGTTCGCTCGTTCTGTCTGTAGCATGACTCAGACCTAGAGTAACATCTAATAATACCGTACACGCACTAACTGAGAGAAAGAGTGACAGAGAAAGAGAGATGGAGGGGTATCAATGCCTGTATCTATTCTTACTCTTGTTATTACACAGCATGCCTCTTCTGTTCCCGGCCGCTGTAGTCACCAGTCTTAAATTACAACACCAAGTGTCATTAAAGGTGTACAGTACACAAGTTTATTTCCTTGATTTTATTCTTCTGTGAGCACTTAAGCTCAGTGTCTTAGATAGGGATAGACTAGTGGTTAAAGCTCTGGGCTAGAAATGCAAATATCGTAAGTTCGATCCCAAGTGGGAGTGACTCATGAATTGGAGAGTTACCAAAGGATTGTTGTCGCGGTTGTGCCCTTGAGCGAGGCTTTCAATCCTGGTTTGCTCTGGGGTGACTGTCTATGTAATTAGTGTCCTGTTAGTCGGATTGAATAAAAGGCTGGGCTAAAGGAGTAACCAAATCAGCAGCTCAGAAATTTGTATATTTTCTGTGCATGGCATTTTTCACACCGTGCATTTCCATAATAATAAAGTTAATCAAAGTTTTGCTCACGGTTCTCAGTATTTGTTCCTTGTGCTCTGTGGAAAAGAGATTATTGAAATGCACTGCAGCAGTTAACATTCAAATGCTACTCTTTGAGAGAACTTGTCCGTGGCATAAGGTTAACGATGAGAAAAGAAATTAGGCAAATTAGAAATTGCGATGGCATTTTCAGTTTTTGTCTGAAAGAGGAAAATGGCAGAAAATATATGCCACCCCGCCCCTCAGTGTTAAAAAAAAGTGTACAGTTAATCAGAAAGTTTTTTTGTTGTTGTAAATGATGAAATCTCTTGAGCATTTCTTTGGCTTTGGTGCACATATTCTACTGGATTTGTTGTTAATTGAAATGCCAAGTAAAGTTGATCAGTGAATGATGTCATCTTGAAATATTGTACAACCACAATTGACCCTTTATTAAGCCCTGCTTCCCACGTTATGGTTACTACCTCCTTTACAGGATGTTTGATATCAATGAACTGAATATTTTTTAATAATTACGTTGTCATTTTCAGTAAAACGTGGCCATAAAGTATTTTTACTTTTATTTTTGTTCTCATTAACATTTTACTATATTTTTGGATAATTTATACAAAATTAAACTAAACTGTTAAACTACTCAAAGTAAACACACAGAACCTCCATAGACTTACATTAGCAAAGTAAATGTCAAGCTACAGTTGGTCAGTAAAGTTTTTAACAAATAAAGTAGAACACATTTATTCAGCGAGTCAAAATGGTGATTGTCTCAAATGCATTTTAGCAGTCAAGCACACATACACATACACATACACATACACTGACTATGACCACCAATGGTTTACTTGCATCTCGAGCTGCGGTGTAAAGGAATGGAATGTCCCTTATTTTCTCTCTATGACGCTGTGCCATGCTTGTATTTTATCTTGTTGCATGTGAATACAAGCTCCAGTTGACTCTTGTGTATGCGTGATTGCACGTGTGTACGCATGTCTTCTAAACAGGTGACTCTGAAGGAGAGTGTGAAGGTGAGATATGCTAAAAGCTTTCGAGCTGCTGCCTCTCGGAGCGAGAGAAGCAAACTACAGAGACTGAAGCATACACAAAGTGTTTTTCAACATGCTTGAGTGTGTGTGTAGTACGGTATAGCGTGTTTCTGCACAGGGTGCAGTTAACTTTCCCAGGGGAATGT